CTTCAAATTTGAAGTTGTGACAAGGAAGAAAGAATTAATATCTTTTTAAATCACGTATTTTTCATTCTCCACTTCCTGGACCATTTCATCATATTTTTGGGTATAGCCAAGATTTTAGCATTTTTCCACGACAGGGAGTTGCGAAGAGAAAAATTGCTTTCCTTCTCCTGACTTGACAGAACTCTCATGCATCATCCAGACACCCCTTTGTATTTATGCCGAAGCTCAAGATAAATTCTCGATGCCGAGGCTCTTTCTCCATCGTCTTCATAGGGACTGAGTTTCCCTAATCCATTTGTCTCTCAATCCCTCATATTTATACGTGGAAAATCACTCAGAACCTTACAAGACGCCAATCTTAAACACTCTTTCCTCCCTTTTCTCACATTTTCCTCCGCAGTGTTTAATTTTCAATTAGGTGATCGAAGGGTACGAAATACATTGAGTTTCTCAATTCGACACGTGAGGGAAACGTTGAAAAATTCACTTTAACAATGTTTGAGCGTGGTAATAAGGCGCTGCCTTCTTGAAGACTTTGTAGCAAAAGCTTTGCGTGATCTTCAATGATCACTCCTTGAGAGATTTTACGCATCTTCCTTTCTCATCTCAAACAAGGTATACGCAATTGCCCAAATTCTCTCGCCTATTTCCTCGACGGACTCATATTGATGTCTATACAAAAGCAATATTTCATTGTTCAACAGTGATTCATAAAATTCCTTCGACGCGCAGATCCTGGGAACAACCGCCGCCGCCACATCACTTATGGACACTCTCCGGACAATTAAATTCCCTCTCTTTCTTGCGATCGCGTGCAAGAAAGTGCTACAAATGGGAAGTGGTTGGTCTGGATGAGTCTATTTGACACTCGAGAGGCATTTTCTGTTGGAGCCACTTCCCCATCCTGCCAGCGAGACCGCCTCAACAGTGGAAAATTATATTGGTGAGATGATGTTCGGGGCCAGATGTCTGATTGGCTTTCGTATAAATTCACGAAGATCCTCTCTGGCCACCGCAAAATTGAGGAGCCCAGCGTAACGGTCAGAGGTTTTCAATGGAAAAACCGTACATGAATTGAAGGCGAAGGAAAAAAAAATTACTGCACGACAAGCACATGATAATAATTTCGTCAAATTGTAATTGATAAGTCTGGCGGTGGATGGTGGAGGGAGTGTGGTGGCTAAGGGAGTGATGGATCATATTCAGGGAGTTAAATCACTTAACCGCGGATGGCGCAGGGTGAATTATAGGCCACTGAAAATGATTAACACTCGCCAAAAAGGAGCCACGGACGCAGCTATAAAATAAAATGTTCATAAAACTCAGTATTTTATGGGAAATCTTTCCCCCGCGCGCTCCTCATCCGCTTGCGGTTTTTCGCAAAACTCACACCATCGCCAATATTTATTTTCAAATGCATGAATTGCGAACTCGTGACCGGAGAAATGGAACATATATCAATTCTTCTGCATGCTCAGTTGATGGCAAGAGTGAGCATAATCATCGTCCAATTAATTGCAGAAGTCTCTCTTGGGGTCTTTATTTGTATAAAATAAATTTCGCAGCTCTAAATGAACTCGTTACTCCCATCGCGGGGATATTCACAAAGCGTCTAATGGGTGGGATCATTACTCTTGAGGGGAGGGTCGCACTATGTATGGCCGTAATCTGTGCTTGAAGGGAAAAGATGTACACAAAATAAGTTCGAAACAAACGCGTCATTACGCTCTAATGATGATGTCAGCAATTAAGCGACGAAGCGTTAATTGCAATTAACATTTCGCATCTTTCTCCTCATTGCTTCCAATTGAAAGTGTTTTATAGTGGAGCATTTTATCCATTAAATCTCTCTCGCGGGTGGAGATAAAAGGGAGATCCCACAATTTTTTCACCAGTCTTTTCGTGGGTCTTCATTGAACGTCAACATTTGTATAAACATCATAGTGAATTAGACGGGGGAGTTCAAGTGATTACGCGACGAAGGCGTGAAAAGTGCTAAACGTAGTTTTTCGAGACAGTGTGGATAAGAGTATTGGGGATGACGATCTCAATTCAGTTGATATTCTAAGGGTGGTTTGATGCACGGAGCTTTTAATTACAGCCTCAGCCAGCGATGCATTGACGGAGCTTTTGTTCTCTCGCACTCTTTCACGTTTGGATCATCAGAGTTGCAGCATCGATAGTTCAGGATGAAAGTGTAATTCTTGCTCAAGAGACTCTCGCCTAACCTTCTCCTCTATGCTCTCGCCATTTCTGGCGAAATCATTAATGCTGTGAATTTACTATGGGGTGGCACAGAGTGATGGTGGGAATTATCTTTCATTTTGTTTTTACTTCCGCTTCTCCTCGCGTCCATCGCGCCAGAAGAAGTGCGAAGGGCTCTTTTTTCCATCCCATTTTTGTCCGACGCGATTGTTTTTCTCGGCACGGAAGGATGTTATTAAAAATATGATAATTAATCTTGCTAAAATTGTAGAGCCATTGCGCGTGGGTGGATAGAGAATTATGTGTGTTTTGCCTAAGAGAAGTGGGTGGCATGAAAGCAATTAGTAACATTAATGGGAGGCGCAATCGTGAAATTTCTCAATTTGCCTCGCAAGTCTTTTTGTCCAAATGGTGCGCGAGACTTGAATGTAATTTTCGGCTGATTATATTCACGAATTCCTTGGAGCTGTGACTTAAGAGGTCTGTTAAGTAATTGATTGTCTTTCCAATTCTTACCAATGATTTCGCCCCTGGAGGACGAGTTGGACAAATGAGAGGGCAAACTTAATGAAATTTGGGGTGTAAGTGTCCAATTAGTCGTAATGAAATTAAGTTTTTCCCTCGAAGATATCTTTCCGGCGAGAAATCTGCGCACATCCTGACCACTTCAAAGATGTGCGCGCAGCGCAAGTGGATTGCGTTTGCGTGTGCTGAGATTTTGCATGTGGTAAAGTGTCTAAATTGCACCCCAAAAGAGGTGTTGGAGTTTGGGAACTGAGATGATTAACCTGCTTGTGGATGCTCTGTGTCAAAGGGACCGAAAAAATTTTGCCTGGACATCGCGAGTTGGTGGTGTGAAGAAAATTGAAATGCGTGGCAATGATTTCCCCGTCATGGAGGCAAAAACTTATGCTCCTCGCTTCATCTACTTAGGGATAATTTCCTCTCTCTCTCTCTCAATCATGTGGTAACAAGTTCAATTAGTGGGCAAATCATTGAGGAATTGCATGAGTTGATAGCATGAGAATTTTAGTAATTATTCATGTGAAGATGTGCTTTTTTGCGTATGCAATTATCAAAGTGATGTGAAACTTATCAGTGCCGCGATAAATATTCAAGGATAATATTAATTTTTGACGGATAATTATGGTGATGTCTTGCTCTAGATTGACATCAAATGTTATGTTAATCAGAGAATACCCTCAGAGCGAGGTGTATTCTTTGCTGATGGCCGAAGAAGAAGTGATTGCGTGTCTCTCAATAGTAGAAGCACTTAACTACTGTATTACGGAGCAATTTGTGCCAAAAATTGCGAGAGCGAGGCTTCTTTGGCGGGAAGCAGAGGCCTAAAGAGCTCATCGATTAGGGAGGATGCGAGGAGTCAGCTTTTTGTGAACCTTAACCTCTCTAACAAGCCATCGCAACTCACGACAAGACAATTATGCAAAGTGCAATGTTAAGCAGCATCTCAGTCATTTTTTCACAGCTCTGCTTATTTTGGCGGTTTCGCTGGGTGGATGTTAAGTACTTTGTTGCGCGAATAAATTGTATAGTGAGACAGATAGGAATGTGACCGTGGCACACAAAAAAGAGCACCGGCTAGAGAATCTAATGAAATAAATACAAATAAAATTACAGGGAGCGGCACATTGGGATCCTCCCCAATCTGTAGCATTTTCTCGATACTGTCTAATTTAATTCAATGATCTGACCATCGTGTAATGTCAATAATTGATGGTATATGGGCATATAAAAGTGGGAATGTGGCACGGCATCGAGCTCATAAATTATCCCAAAATCAGCGCTCCTCCACTTTTCTTCTCCCTCTCACTCTCTTCGGTCGCTCTTCTTCTTTTCCGCACAGATCGAGGCAAAGTGGAGTGCCGCGTGGTGTTTTTGATATCACGAAGGCGTTCCCTTGATCTTCATTAAAACAGTAAGCGATTAAGTAATTGAGGGTTTCACATGGCGAAGCGTGTTATTTGTGAGGTGCAAAGGAGCTCTCGTGGGTGGAGCGGAGAAAGATGATCACAATTCGGCTCTCTAAATTCTACCTGTGATATTTACGGCGTCAGGCACGAAACAGATTCACACCTCGCACGCATTTTCACTCCTGGGCGCAATAGTGCCAAATCTCACACGAAGTCCAAATTGATTTTCAATAATTAATAGGTGAGCGGAGGGATAGAATCACGAACATTCCTAGATCATGCCACTGTGGCGTGGCTTTCTGGTGTGAGTGAGCAGCTCAGGCATGCAACGGAAGTCAAATTATGCCTGATTACCCCTTCGACAAGGTCGCGATGAGGAAGACTATTTGATACGCTAACAACTGCCGTGGGTTGATTGCCCTAGAAATGGCGAAAAATAGAAGAGAAAAGTCTTGAATCCAAATGTTTGGCAACAGACTTTGTTTTCACACAAACTTTACCATCAATATCGTTACAGTAACAATTTTCTTACTTTTAATTTACAGATCGCTGCAAGGAAGTTGCGTGTCAGGGCCTTTTTACTCAACTGTTTGGCACCATATGTGATCCTCAAGTCAGCCATAATTGTCACACAATGACAAGATAATTGTAGTGAAGATTAAGACAAAAAATTACATGTAATTTGAGTCTGGAAAGGACGCTATGAAATACAATTATTCCCTTATGGTGTGAGAACATCCTTGATTTCTTTTACTGCACAGAAACACCCTTGAAACGTGAAACATGCTTCCCGCCAAAAAGCCCTCCACAAAAAGCTCACCACTTTCACCACCCGATGAAACTCAACCTCACCATTCCGCGAGAGGCGCTGGCGGTTGCGGAATTGTCAAAATTGTGGCGTCGTAAAAAGTTGCATGAAAATTTTTAGACTGAATTTTCGCCTGTTTTCCATGTGTATTTCTCTGTGAAAGAATGGGCAGATCACGGAGTAGATCACCGAAGCGCCGGCGGAAGAGTAGCAAACACAGAAAACACAGTAAATCGAGAGACAGAGACCATGAAAGAAGTTCCAAATCGAGGTGAGTGACATGGAAAATTTTTGTTTTTCCTAATGCTAAATGCCTAAATAGAAGGTTAATGATGTGATGTTGTGTTGCAGAAAGCGTTCCATTTCCATATCTTCCGACAGCAGTAGTGAAATACCACACAAGAGCCATCGGAAGAGGAGCAAGGAAATCGATCGATTGGCAGAAATGGAGAGGCAACGTAGGCAGAAAGATGCAGAGCAGAGGGTGAGATTTTCCGGCACATTTTCCCTCCGGATGGTAATTGACTGACCTGTGTGTGCATCTATCTGGGGGTGTAGGTAATTGAGGAGGAGGCCGCCAAGAGGATAGAATTGCTCGTGAAGAAGCGCGTGGAAGAGGAACTGGAGAAGAGGAAGGATGAAATTGAGCAGGAAGTGACAAAACGCGTGGAGGCGGCCAAGAAACAGATGGAACAGGAAATGATGCTCGAGCTGGAAAAGCGAAGGGAGCAGGCTCGCCAAGAAGAGCAAAAGCGAGAGGTAAGCTGCCCACGAGAGGCCCTTCTCTCCCCATATTCTCTGCCACAAATTGAACACTGTTGCCCAACACTTGACGAATTGGTCAGACCTCGAAGCGCCTTCGAGTCTGTCGCATTCCTCATGGGGTCATCAGTGGCCTGAATCTCGTGAATACTCTCTCGCCAGAGATTGGGTGTGCCTGAGGAGCGAGTGGCTGGGGTAATTGGACGCCTAATCAAACAGCTGTCTGTGTGTGGGTGATTCTCTGCTTCTCTTTATGTTACTCCAAATGCTATGATTTTTTCCTTTCACTTTGAATATGAGTGTGTGGCTCGCGCGTGCCGCAACGGCATCCGAGCTGTTATCATGAGCAGAGTGAGAGGGAGTGGGAGAAAGAGATAGAGAGGAATGTGATAAGTGAGGGTGATAAATGCGCGTGAGTCACGCTCTTTTGGGGATGAATGAGGATCGAATGCATGTAAATTTCTTATTTCATATTTTCAGATTAATAGAGAACTCGCAGTGCTATAAAAAAAAATATGCCCTAAATTTCACGTAAAAGAGATTTGTGCAAAATATTTGACTATATCTCGCAAAATATTTCCGACTTGTTGAACAAACACACACAGAAATTCTCAAAAGAACAGAAAAAAAAGAAAATTGAGGCGACAATGCAGCAAACGGTTCCCCTGATTAATTTAGGAGAGAGAGGGGCAAAAGAGGATCACAAGGATTCGACACTAATTTATTCGTATAAATGAATTGAATAAATTTCTGTTGATTCCGCCGCCCGGAAACTCTCTCTCTCTCTCATGCTTCAAAGACTTTTCCTTCTCCTTGAATAACGCAAAAAAAAGAAAGAAACAAACACTTTCTCTCGCTCGAGAGAAAAATTCCCCAAAAAAGAACACAAACAAGAGCGAAAAAAAGACAATCATGGAAGTGCAAGAAAGACTATTTTGATATATAAATAAAAAAAACAATTGGATAAGAGACATTTGCACACGAAAAAGAGCCTAAGATTGTAAAGAGACACATTGAAAACAATCCGAAAAGTCATATGCCGAAGAGGATCCCAATTTTATTTCTGTATCAGCGACTCAGGTATTATAAATCATAATTTATTTTTATATTAAACAATGTTTTTTAATTTAAATTTATGCATCTTTTGTGAGCCAAAAAATATTAAAAAAAAAGAAACACATACTGAAGGACTTGTTTCATGATGCAAAAATATTGAACTGAAATTGAATGATGTCACAAAAAAGTTGATGATGAAAATGCAGATAAAGAAAAATGGATAATAATGAATAATGCAAACAAGGCCTTTGTCAGCACACATTTTCTCTACGTGAAAATTTAATTAAAACAATGAGTTTTGCATTGACAAAGGAAACAGCATTAAATTTTCAGTTTGGAAAATGCGTGTGAAAAAAGACATTTTAAAGAACGAGAAGAAAGTTGTGTCAATTTTCTTTTAGGTAAGCCGAGAATTGTGCTTGAGTGAGATGTTAATCGATCTCTTATCATTTTGTAGGAGGAGGAGAGGAAAAAACGCGAGGAACTGGAAAGCATTTTGGCGGAAAATAACCGAAAAATTGAGGAGGCACAAAAGAAACTCGTAAGTATATTGTTGCACTGAATATTGTTTATTCATTTTTATTATTTAAAATAAACTTTGGAATGATAACAGTTTTATTATACACATTACTAATTACAAATTTGTCTGCTTCGCGTTGCTGGTTTATTTGCAGGCTGAAGAGCGACTAGCGATTATTGAAGAACAGAGGAAAATGGATGAAGAGCGCCAAAGGATGCGAAAAGAGCAGGAGAAGAGGGCAAAGGAGGAGCAGAAAATGATTCTGGGCAAGAATAATTCTAGGCCAAAGCTATCATTTTCCCTCAAGCCTGGCGTCTCGTGAAATTGTCGCGATTTGCCAACTGAGCCAAATGAGAATATTTCCAATTCCTATTGAATTTTCCCTCCTCCCCCTCCACCCCCCGCGCAGCAATAACCAACGGGTTTTGTCCCTTTTTTCCCTTAATCTCTTTAAGTTTGTTTTCTTTTTCCCTAATTATTCATTCTCTGTTGCGTCGTTGAGCACGCGCGCAAAGCCAATCATTGATTTCAAATAGTGGTTTTTTTTTTCTTTTATACAATATGAATGGAAGAAAAATCGATGATCTCTTCCTGCTTTTGAAAGTTTAATTATAGAGAGATTTGAAGTATTTTCTCCCCATTTCCTGTGCTCTCATTTTGAGACAAAACAATGAGTGAAAATGAAGTATTTTCATCATGATAGAGAAGATGATAAGAAGCGTTTTTGCTGTGGCAGTGGCATTTCGTCAGAAAAAAAAAGAAATTTTCACACTAACTATAAAAAGGAAATATAATTCAAAAGAGAGAGAGAGTGAGGGAGATATTAGATTAAATTTTCAAATATATAGATTTTCCTCTATCGAATATACTCTCCTATATATATATATAGCAATCCTACCACAGAAAAATACATAACTCTTGAAGTAAATTGACCAATTATTCTCAACTCCTTCCACTCGGGGTCTTGGCTCTTGTTATTTATCGACACGGGCATTGTTGTTTGGCAAGGAACGTGTCACGGAATTGCCTGCCGCTGAAGTTAAGGTATGTCGGATAAGGATATAGCCACATATTGAAGACATTTATCACGATTTCTGCTCTTGCACTTTCAGATCAACAACTGCGGAAGGGTTTTTCGTGGTGTGAGGCTTCGGGCTGCAGCTCTTTATCAGCGGCGTTGGCAGATTCTCCTTCTGCGAGTTGAGGATCTTGTTGTACTTGGCGCGCCAGGCTCTCAAGCTCAGGCCGACGGCGAAGAAGTGTGAGCAATAGTGATGATCGTCATCTCGCCTTCCGGCCGCTCCGATTGTTGAGGACTTTGTGAGGCTGCGATAGGGTGACAGATTCATCTTCTGATTGACCGATGCTGTGCTGCGGAGCTTGCTGAAGATGTTGCTGGCGCTCTTGGACTTGAAGATGCTGCTCTCCTGGATGGGTTGATTGTGGCGCGATGACGCAGGGGTGGAAGTGGACTCGAGTTTTTCCGGGCAGTAGCGATTTCCTATGCAAGTTATCTCCTTGCGCGAGCCTTTGGTGGTCTCGGGCGGCGGCTGTTCCTCCTGCACCACAACTATGCGAGGGCCACAGCTGGCGTGACGCCGCTGGGAGTCCACCTTGGGGATTTTCTGCTCTACTGGCGCCTTGCGATTGCTGTTGGCTACGCGCGTGCTGGAAGATTGAGTGCCGCGACTCGTTTTGTTGGCTTTCTTCACGGCGGTGAGCGGAGAGGTTTTTCTGGTCTTGGGCGACACCTGATTGGGTTTCAGGTTGAGACAGTCCATGAGATCCATGATGTACGGGCCCTGAGTCGTCACGAGTCCTGCATTGGCAGTGTGATTGGGATGAGGATGGGTGAGACGCGGCACTGGACGAGGAATGATGCGGAGATCTTCGCGCAGCTTGGATTCCTGGTTGCGACGAGTGGAGGAAGTCTTGGTGAGGAGCTGCTGGCCCTTGAGGAAGAGATTGAGGCCCATGTAAGCGGGCGCTGGAGGGATGCTCTGTCTGTAGATGAGTTCAAATCCTCCGGTGTCAGCCTTGGGATCATTCCTCCGATCGATAATCACTGGAATGCGAGAAGGTGAATTTAATTGACATGTTAAAATTTCCTCTTTACTCATTGTCTACCTTTGACTGTGTCTTCCAGGCATTGTGGGCACAAGCGGGCAGTGACACTCGTGGTGGATCCCAGGTCAGGAGAGGAATTGATCTCGATGAGCCATGGATAGAAGTCCTCAGAGACCATAAAGTCCGCGCCGAAGAGTTCAAAAGTGTTGGGGCGTCTGTCCATGTTGTCTTGCGATGCCAGCATTGAGCCAATGATGGCGCGCTGCATTCCAGGATAGATCCTCTCTGACCAGAGCTCCAGCTTGCCAATCATGCGGAGATAGGCCTGGAATGTGTGACAATCCCACATGTTCTCCTGCGGCAGTCGCTCGTCGCGCTGCCCGTTGACGTACTTCTTCTGGATGGCGTGATTGGTCAAGTGGACGGACTCGTGGTAGTTGAGGAGATTGTACTCCTGCGAGCTGAAGCGCAGATAGCTCTCCTTGTACATCCAAATGACGAGCGGCTGCACGCTGGTGATGAGGAACCACTGTCTGATGTCGAATTTCGTGTTGTGGATGGTTAGGGGTCGTTCTGGAATTTCACGGTGAGTCTTATTATTACATATTTCCTCCTCGCATTCTCTGTTTGCTCGGCCGCGTGTTGTGCTATTGTTGTGTGTGCCTCTTTTGCGCGGAGCGACAGAAATAGACACACAATGGGGGGGAGTGTGAAATTCAATATTCGCGAGTGTGGGGGCTGAGAATCAGCTGATTCTCCATGTTACGACGGGAGAAGCGTGATGATTGGGAAAACTGGGTCACCGAACATAACATATATACATTTTTAGCGATAAGCTGTACTCGAAGGTGGTGGGAAAGCGGGATCATTTTATAAATTTGCACGCAACACGATATCGCGCCTTTCGCTCACCCTCAATCCCGGGCCGATATGAATTAGCGACTGAAAATCGCGCGCGCGAAAAGCGCGATTGGCGTGGGGATTTCTTTTTTTTTGAGTGCCAGAAAAATCGATTAGGGCAATAGTTTTAAATACAGCTTATTGTCAGGAGATGGCTAAACTGGAGCACAGCTGGATTTATGGCTATCTCGTCCGGAAGCTTAAATGTAGGAATTTAGTTCAAAACCACTCGAGCTTGTCCCTCCCTCGACAGATATGCAAATTTCTCTCCACAAACTCGACTCAAGAGACACCGGGAACGTGCCAGTCTGTATTTCTCAGTCGACAAACAAAAGTTTTAATGCTCGCGATCATTATGCAAACGTACAGTTTAATGGGTTCCCGCGGGGAAATGTTTTTATGGGCAGCGAGAGACGACGCAGGGATTCGTTCACTCACCCATGTACTTCTGCACGACATATCGGGTCTTGGTGATTGTCGGCGGATTCACCAGCGAGATGATTTTCTTGATGTTGTTCATGAGGAGAATGCCTCGGCCGCGACACCGATTGCCTGGCTTCACGATCCATATGTTGAGGAATCCGTCAGCGTGATATTGAGGCCAGAAGATCTCCACGTCGCGCAGGAGTTTTTCCACCAGGGAAATGTATGATTCCACGGGATCGTCTTCGGTGTCGAGGAGTCTGGCATTCTCGTGTGTCACGAGGTAGTGATGGGTGAGAAAGACGTCCCAATCGTGCTCCCAGATCTTGAGATTCTCGTCCGGACAGTCGATGTCGCGATGTTGGCAGAAGTCGACAAACTCGCGACAGCGCTTCACGGCAAAGTGGACACTGGTAATGGGCACGGTTCCTGTGGGCGAGCCGACGGCCGCCAAGCCGTGACTCCTGTAGGTCTGGGCCAGCCACTTGAGCAGCCCCATGCATCCGGTGAGGCGGAAGTCGTCGATGAAGTCATTGAGCTCGTCCGGACTCCACACATTGAAGCACCGCGGATAGTAGGTCTCGGCGATGCCGTCCTCGTAGAACCAGTGGAAGTCCCGGAGGCTGGAGCAGAGGCCTTCCTTGGTGGTGAAGGGCACCTTGTGGAATTTGTTGATGAGCAGCGCGGGATTGCGCGCCATGTCTATCCAGTCCGCCTTCTCCTTGCGCGCCGTCCAGAGGAAATCCACGGGCGTGTACTCGAGGAAGCGCGACAGGATGTTCCTCTCGCACTTGATAAGGTACTGCTTCCGGGACTCTCCGGCGCGACGCACTGGCAGCTGGTGGATCATCTCCTCGATGGTGAGATTGCAGGGCATCGAGGCTCTGCGGTGGACGTCCAGTTTCTCCACCCAGCCTCGCTGCAGCAAAGCCTTCCTCACGGTGTAGAAGCATCCGCGGATTGTGAAGACGCGGTGATTCTTCTGGGCCTCCTGGGCGCGCTTCCGGAGCTCATTGAGTCGCTCAGTGGAGATGCAGCGTCGCGACTCGCCGGACTGACGCGTGCGAACGGGCAGAGTCTCGAGATTGTTGCACTGGCACGCCGTGTCGGTGAAGCCTGTGCAGAAGAGAGCCACCGCGGACGCTTCCTTCTTCCGTCTGATGCTCACACCAGTGGTGGCGCTCTCCTCCTCGCCGTCGTCCTCCGAGGAGGACTCCAGCGGACTGTCGGGGCGCCTCTTGATGGCATTGTGGGACTTCACGACACGAATCGAGGGCACTCGCGGCGGCGGCGGGAAGACTCGGGACACATCAGACTTGCTGGTGCGACTCGTGGCTGTCCTGGGGAGAGTGTCTCGCCTCGAGGGCGTCTTCAGGTCGCTCATCCGAGCGAACCGCACTCTTCCACTCGCCACAGTCAACTGAGTCTCCTTCGCGCTGCGCCTTCGCGACTCCTTCCGTGTCCCCGCAGGACTTTGCCGAGAGTGCAGCGGAATTCAACCTACTTTCGCGCTATTTTGGTGCGCGTGCCAAGGAGTCTCTGTCCACGAGGAGCAGCAGCTCCGCCACCCCAGAAAATGTTCATTTCAACACGTGTGCGGAACTCACGATAAATTCCCTCAAATGAGCCACTCTCTTCCCACCCACGATGTCGCCGCTCGACGGCGGGAGGAAGAAATTGATTTTCTTTTTGGCAATTTGCAAGGCAAATGCTCCGTTCGTGCACTTCCAAGTGCAATTTTCGCTGCTGCCGTTCGATGAACTCGCCTCCACACTTGGGCGCTGTGGAGAGAGTCAAGGAACTTCCTGCAGTCTCAATTTCATCCTTCTCTCTCTCCAATTTGCTGCCGCTAACTTTTCCCATTACACCTCTCGAGGCTCTCGAGGTGTTTTGCCACCCGCACACGGAATCGATTCGCCGGATGTGAGCTTCAATTGAACTCATTCAACTCATTCTTCTCTGGTGGATGAGCCTTGGGGTGAGCGTTACATTTCAAATATTTGGTAAGTAACTGACTGGACGTATTCTTGGCATTCCACTCCTCGCAATAAATAATACCTCTAGAATTTCAGAGTTTAATTGCAGTATCGCATGACATTTAATGGGTGAGCTTGAATGCAAGTCCTAGTTAATTAGTAGGGCAGCGAGAAGAATTCAAAAGGCCTCCCTGAGTGTAAATGCATTTGTGCTACTTTTGAAGAAGAATAAACCCAAAGGAGAAAATTCGCCTCATTAATTATTCACAGTCTTTAGTGCATCACGCAAAGGACATTTATATTTTGCTGATATTTTGAATGCTTTTCCCAAAAGGCGATGCGCGTCCGAGGACTGTTCCAATGCCATTCTGCCGGCAGAGGAGTTCGCTACGGGGCGATGAGGTGAGCACACTGAGTTGGTGGTGCTTTTCCGCCTGGGGGCGCTGGTGGGCACTTTGACGCGCCAGAAGTGCGCAGCAATTTGACAGTGACAGTTTGTGAGCAGCAAAATTGTGTGGTTTTTTGCGAGAAAAAGGAAAAATAAGGCATTGCTCTCCATATACACATTTTCCCACTTGTACAAGCACCGCTGATGCAACATAGAATTACATAATTTGCCGTGGCTGATGAGACAAGTGTTGTGTGTGGATTCCTGATCGGGCAGTGCTTCTCTCTTCCGGATCGCGTTTCCTGGGCTGGCTAGACTGGAGGGCGGACGGCGCAATTGGTGGCTGTGGCGAGGCTCCGTCAACTGCAGCTCCCCCGACGATGGCTTTCAATGAGGTGAGTACCAGTGGAGAGCACCTTGGCGGCTCACCTGTGCGTGAGGGCGGCTCGGGGCGCCCGCGAGCGCTGCCCAGAGAGCCCGGGCAGCGCTGCGAGTGTTGTGTAATCGCTGGGGATGCTGTCTTTGTTGGTGTTCTGGGCACGACCTTGACCTCGCTCTGACCCAATGCAGCAGCAGCATCACTGGAGGAATATGCGCTCTGTTCTCTCCCAATGTTCTCATTCTTCGCCGCGGCTTCGACTGCACTGGGAGGGGACAAAGAAGCATCGATTTTCAACCCTGGCCCTCCAGCCAAATCCCCTGTGGTCACACTGGCCAGAGGAGTTGATGTCACACTCTTCAGTCACACTCGTGGAATGCGGATATTCTTCGGCGGCATGAAAGTGTGTAGAGAAGCGCAGGGCAAAAAAAAAACTCAACCTCATGGTCAGAACTCTTGAAGCATTGAATGGTCAGTGTGGCAGGGATTTTCCACATCCCGTCCGGGCCAGGAAGCCCACTTGCCACTGGAAAGATCGATTTCGCGTGAGACCCGCAAAGTCTTCCAATTTTTTTATTTTTTTGAGCAATGGAATAACCAGAGAAAAAAAACACGCAATTGCTTAGCCAGTTTACCACTATTTATTCCTCTATTTTGTAATTTAATCAATTATATTTTCAAAGCAATTGTGGAATTGCAAAAATTGTGAACCGCATTTTACCTAGTTTTCTCTCTTTTCCCTCTCACTCGCTCACTTATTGCAGGGTGCATTCTTTCCATGGCATATTAGCAAATATCTTGATTAGTTGTTTGTGTGTTTAGCTTGGAAATTCAGGGAATTTTCCCAGGAAAGAGACCTCCAATTGGCGCTGTCTGTGAGATCTCTGACTCCGTTTGCCGCTATGGCAGGGAAATTGGGTATGATTTTGTTGTTTGCTCAAGCTCGCTTAAAACTGTCCAAGTTGATTGAATTGTCGGGCAATTTAGTGGGTTTGCGTGGGTGAAGAAGAGATGTTCGCTGAGAGAGAAAGAGACTCTTGATGGGAAGAAAAAAAGAAGTGCTCGCGAGACTCTTCTCCAAAATATTCTGAGACATCGCGTGGCCCTTTTTCCCTCCATCTTCAGCTCTGCAACACAACTTTTTTTTCTAGGTCAGTCGACAATGTGTCGAATCCAGTGAGATTTCACTGACGACACACAAATGAAATGATGTTCTTATGATGCCAAAAAGGTATGGGAATTTTTTCATCTTCTCCTCATGTTGCCCGCAAGACGTACAATTTGACGTCATTGTGTTGTAATTTGTAAGTGATTTTCCACACGCAATTTCTCACTAAAAATGGGAGGAGAGAATCTCTCAACTATGCTAAATCAAATATTAATCTTTCACCCACACCGGAGGCTCTCAGCGTCCATCGATGGTTTTTTAGGAAAATTAATTCCGCTCCGTGAAGCTCTATCGGCAAAAAAGCAGCACTTTGAGGAGGTGGTGGTGGTGGAGGAGGGACAGAGAAAAAGGGCGGGCAGCGCGGGGAGAGTTTTTGTGGGCTTGAGAAATTACAACAATCGCGCGAGGTATAGAGTGAATGCTATTACAATGCAGTTGGGAGGTTGTATTCAATCTTCCAATGTACATTGGCACGTAGATGAAATAATCTCACCAGTATCACAGTGAATTTTATACATGCTGCATAACATTTAATGGTATCTTATGTGGCGTGTATTTCCATATAACAGGGCAAGAGAGAGGGAAGAGCGGGGGCAGAGCTGTGAAAATTGGATTTGATAGTAATTCTGGCTTTCATTCACTCTGTATCGATCGTCTCTTTTTTTTCCTTCTCATATCTCGGCTATCTTTTACCATCTTCATGTGACATGAGACACAATTTCTCGAGACACACGAGATGGAGAAATTTAATATCCATAATATAAATGTATGTGCGGTGGAATGACAAATAGGGAGGGAAATATTCATTGGGAAAATCACACTATATTAGTTTTCCCTTACTTGCACTTGCCACAGTGGCGATGAAATTGCTCACATTCTATTTTTAGGTGGTTTCTTGGTCATTTTCAATGATTGAATTGCGGTGTTTGATGAATTCGCGCCGGCTTTTCATTAACTCTCTTTCACATTGTCCCATTGGATTTCACAGCTCAGGCGGTATTGAATTATAGTGTGACGATTATCGCTTAGTGCAGACGAACTGGGATGTTGTGGAAATTTGTTGCGAAAAGTGGCACCTGCGAGAGGAATAGAACATGCCAAGTCTTCAAAGACGGGGAAGTTTAAGTGTTTAGAGTCTGCCGCAGATGAGTTTATAATGCTTCCAACACGCGAGTCTGCTTCATGAAGTCCGCGAACAGACTTCCAAAATGTGTAAATTGAGCCAGCGTTGTTGTAACTTTGTTATGCAATCGATGATAATATCCGATTCACATTGACCACAATGCCGGCATCTAAGCAAGCTTCGCGAAAATGCCCCTTCGCGAGTGATTTTTCGGCAGTGTCGTGGAGTGAGATGGATGGCGAAGCTGATGGAGGAATGTCTGAGGGGAGAAAGTCTCCCACTGTATGGTTTTTGTGTGCTTTCAGGTCGCCATAGAGCGAAAGAGTGTGTCATAAATAAAAATAATACTCACATATATTTTATTTTAAAATAATGGTGGAGGAAAAAAAAAGAGCGAGCATGGTGTGAAGAATTTAACTGGTCGTGACAGTCTTTGCCATTATAAATATTTATTCAACTACATTTCCTGGTTGATCATAAAATTGTTTATGCACTATATGCAAAGTGTGTGCACAACGGAATGGAGTTGTGAAGAAGGGTTCACGATGGGGATGTTCTGGATGCTCTCTTCCCTTGGTGTATTAGAGAATTATTGTGAGAATTGGGTCGTGATTCACCCATTATGCAGAGTGAGGATGACAAAAGGGAAATACAGCACCACAATTCTGGGAATGCTTTCAATCCATACGTGAGACAATCGCGTGTCTTTTCTTTTCGATGACCGTCAAAAAGGCATTTACAACTATTTCTGGCTCATCTGGATGAAGCACTGCGTCTGTGTGTGTGTTGGTGCGGAGATAGATTTTCTATTTAGATTTGAAACGGCATAAATTAGGTTTTGGTTTCTCTTGTGAGCATCGAGCAAAAAGAATCTGAGACTCTTTTTTTTTCTCCCATCTAACACAAGGCAGTTCATTGAATATGCAAGCAGCAAATAGGAGATTCTCTGCTTTATATTTTCAGAACATTTTCATGGATTGAGTGTGTGAATGTGATTCTCTTTCATCTCCGAAACGAAAATGCGTATTATTATTGTGAAAATGATGAACTAAATTACCCAATTATCTATTCTCATAATTGCATACAATTAGTGGTGGAGTCAAGTGGGTTTTGTGTCTGGAACGCTTGGAGGAAGAAATGGGCAATTGAGAGACTGAAGAAATGACTGAAAATTGCCTTCCTCGGTGATTTGATGCTGATATTGGCCAATATGTGTGGCAGAAAGGCAATTAAATGTCATGATTTTCAACTCATATGGCTATTTGCCGCGCATCACAGATGCCAGGCTAGTTCTCGGCCAAATTAATTGAGTTCCCAAAATAATACACACTTGCATTCTGTTAATTTTGC